TAGTTTAAAACGAGGAATAAATTAGAGTGGTTGTTCCACATTTGTGTGAAGTTTGAAGTCAATTTAATTTATTTTAAGACTTTAGCAGCGCTTCATCCTTGCACCTTATTTCGGTCATTTTATTACATGAAAAACCGCACTTTGACTGCGCTTTCAAATTTTCGTGAATTTCTGAAAAATAAAAAATTCGCTGGAACCTTATAATATGATTTTTAGAATTAGGTCACCTAAGGGTATCTTTGGGCAAAATATGAGCGATTTGCCAAATGGGTCGTTGACCGGTGTTTCTCGATCCTAACAGTCAGCCATTCTTAAGTACATGAGAGAAGTAGCAAGTGGGCGTCAGGTAGTCAGTTTAGAAAACGTCTTTAATTAGAATTTGTGACTGGGGTGAGTGAGGGAGCCAACCCTGGGTTTTGACCTACAGCCTGGCATTGAATTCGTGGTAGCAGTGGTGTCTGAGGCTGCAGTTGTGACAGAAGAAAAATATGATCACACTGAGGGAGAAAACTCTGAACATAACTGCACTAGAGAAAAGGGAAATATGAAGTTGTTTGGTTATATGAGAGTCAGTATGGTGGTTAAAACTGGTTATTGAGAAGTGACCAAAATTTCAACTACCAACAGATGAAACAATGGCATTTAAACTGATACAGGAAATGATAATCCCAGTAACTGCTGCCTGAGGTTGTGTAATTTTACACCAAATTTGAGGCCCCCTCATTTGGACACTCATTTTATACCACTGGCTAGCCAAAATAATTTTTCACTCCACTTTGGGCATGTATAATGGTGCTGCATGGGACATGGTCAGCTCTAAATCATTGAAATGGGCAAATGGAACTGGTGGGGGAACTTCCATACATAAAGGACAGGGGTGCTCATTGTAAATTTTGATAAGAACCCCTATGAGTCATGTTATGTGGGTGTGGCTTGAATTTTTTTCACCCTTAGAGGTTCCAAAACTGCTTTTTTAACCTCTAAGAGGTAGAACAAACACCCCTGTCCTTTGTATATGGGAATCCCCCTCGGGCAAATGGCATCATGTTATTTACTCAGGATGTTAAAATGTAACTTTTAGGTGAAATGTGTCAAGAAAATTAATTACTGAAGGTACCATTGAAGTGCCACACTTGTTCTTATACGCTTCATCTACCATGTGGTTCTGCAACCATACCTATGGCACCTGATGAGGAATTGTTTGCCATTTGTGATTTAGCTTTCAAAAATTCATATTTTGGCATTACTCGTATTTAAAATGGCATTAGTGCTCATGTTGTGTTGAATTTTTGAAGAAAGGGCATGATTCCAGAAAGCTCTGAGATATTTTTACTACTATGTTGACTGCGATTAAGGGACATTTCAGATTTACAAAGCAGAGGCATTATTGCAGTTTAGTACCAGAAACTACTTCTTAGTTTACAGAAATGGTCAGTGCTTGTTGAAATTTGAAAAGGTTGTGTTGTTTTAAAGGTTGCAACTTATGGATTACAACTTGTTGGTGAGGACATTATTTTGTGACTGGAAAATGTTCCTGTTGTGAACTCGTAAGTTTGAGTATGAACATCTAGCAAGAAATTGTACATTGTACACCAGTCTCAAATGCATGTGAATGAAATATTCCAAAAGTGAAAAAAATCATCTATTTTCAGAGAATGAGAGATAACCTTATCTCCTTTATCAATTGTCATGGGACTACCATTTAGAAGTTTTCATGAGCATTTAATTCTCACTTTTATTGAGGGGAGATATTAGGTGCAAAGACCCAGCCTTCAACCATGTCTGAATCTGCAAGTTCTTGTCATCTCTTTGCTGCCCCTCCAGGGCTTTGGCCCACCAACCAGGACATAATGGGGCATTGTTCAAGAAGAAAATATGAGAATAATCCCTCCACCTTGTAAACCACTGATATGTTACAATGTGAAGCCAATTTGCTACGGATTTAGCAATATTATTACAAGTTGTATTGCCCTAATTTCTGCTCTACAATTTGGAGAGACTCAGTATAAATGTCTATACCAAAACTAGAAGACACTTGCAACGGGTCAATAGAGTTAGATATGTGGGTTGCGAGTTCATCATTATTGATGTTTGATAGCTGAGCAGGAAACACCTCAACGTTGTTGTCAGGAACTTCAAGAGGTGTCTGTCCTTCAGGATCTTCATCATAAAATGTGGAATCTTCAGGGTCATCATTAAGGTTGCCAATTGCAATTGGATTACATGGATTCGTTCCATTCCACCACATCTGATTCGGGAACCAGTTGTGCTCAGTTTGAACAGGATGGTCATTGAAAGAGACCATCCATTCAGATAAAGTACAGTTTATTCTTCTTAAATAGACATACTGCAATGTGAACATGTGGATGGGATTTTCTACATCCAAAAGCCCAGTTTGTTCCATCGGATAAAATATGTAGTAAAATACATGGCAGATACATCTAAAAACATCCCTCCAAAGCCTTTTGATTCTCTGGTTCCTTGTCGATGACCCAGCGACAAAACTACCGCGACCCTTCCCACAGACTGCAACCATAGCATCATATACTGCACTGTTCTCCACACCATAGTCTGCTCTAATGTGGGATGGCAACAGTCCACCATCTCGCTCGATACCACTTTCAAAGAGACAGAGAACCGTGGAGGAAAGATTATTTGTGCTGCAATGAAGGAAAAGTATTCTTTGTGAATAGCCATCGATACATCCATGAATTACAAATCCCCTACGAATTAATGAGTGATGGCCATCTAGGTGCTACAACGAATTTGGCCACGGGACAAAGTTTACTCGTTGTGAGATTTAAGCACCCCACCTCAAAGTTGTGTTCCTCAGATGTACCTGGTTCAGGCTCTCTCTGATCCACCTCCTTTGTACAGTGTAACCCATTGCTCTTAAGTGTCCTTGTAGATATGTTTCGCCTGTGGTTGACCCATGTCGTTCAATGAAGTCGTGAATAATACTGTCTTTTTCTTCATTGGTCATGGTGCTGAAGAGGGATAAATGTTCTAGGTCAAATAAATGAACTCAGCACATTATTGTCCAATGAGATACTCTGAAAATCCTTGCAATCTTTTCCTACGTGAAGCCTAGCCCTTGTATATCCTCTAGTACCTCAGGCAGAATATCTACCGATGGTCTACCTGGGCGTTCATTCTTTACTGTTTGAAAAGGGACAGTTGTAACTCGTGATGGCCTTGATATACTGTTTCCAAAGTGTTGAGGAACTTCTCAAGTAATTCAGAAAACACCACTTTTAGATTGTTTAAGGTCATTCCCCAGTATTGCATTGCGCATCCCTACTGCACATAATTTAAGGCGTGATTAGCGCATGCGCATTAAAAAATGGCGGCTTTTTCTTTATGGCTGGACTTCGCCATAGAGGTAAATCGTCAGTTTCTCATCGACATCGCTTGCATCAAGTGGTGCGCGTCATAGCCCCTCAGGTTGTGGAATACGACTGGTATTGGGTCCATCTTTGGGTTTATTCGCAATTTCTTATTGCATTCGCTGTGCGTGGCTCTGCGAAACCTGCCAGTTATGTGGCAATGGTCCTTTACCGCGTCTCTGAATTTTTTCTGAAGTAAAGGTTCTGCGCAGAACAAACATGTTTCCTGATTTTCTGCAATCCATTCATCAATTTTGTCTTTTTCTTTTCTTTCTCTTTTTGACCCAACAAATTTTATTTTTTTGAGCGCCTTGTAATAACAGCCTTTGTGACTTTGGCCGCAATAGCTCCCTGTGTTTTGGTCCCAGATGGGCTTTGAGTCTAAGAATTCGCCTTTTATCAAACTTTTGTTACAAACGTGGCAGTCGTTTGCGTTTTTGAATTTTTCCCAGTCTTTGGCCGTCATATCAATCGGCTTTTTGTGGCCAAACTTTCTCTTATTTTCTCCTCTTCCTGTAGAATGTCGATTAAAAACTTTCCCACCGCGTTTTCGCCCCTGAACGTGTTTGAACCAACCACTTCACCATCGCTTTTCACAACAAGGTAAGAGTAACCGCATGCCTCGTGCCTTTCGGTTTTCTCTGTGTAGCTTGTTTGCATTCTCTCACGCTCACAGCTCTGTATCTTTCTTACAAGAGCCTCGAAGTCCGCGTAAATAATGAAAGGCATCTTCATCTGTTTTTTGAAGTTTTGGAAAGAAAGTATGTTTTCCCCCTCTTCTGGCATCACGATCCTTGTCGGCCTGCCGTTCACACCGTTGCAATATTTTTTGTGATCCACGAGCAAGTCTGCTCTTGAAAAAAAGGTCAAGCACAGCATGCAAAAGTGCTTTGTGTCTCTGTGCTTGGTCTGATCGAAAAGCAAAGCGCTTTCTCTTTTTACGTAACAGTAGTGCTGGATTTCCAAATCCGTGATCTTTTCTTAGTTTTCTCTTGCGAACCTCAAAAGATCTTTATTGTTTGGGTTCCTTTCGGATATATCCATTCTCCACGCACGGAGCCATTCTTGGAAATTGTTTTGAGATATTTGGAACCCATCGTATAATGCGTGAAACTCAGGTGTCAACGGTTCGGGAAGGTTTGTTCTTTCCTCCCTCGGTATTGGGCCATAGAACCTTTGCAGAACATCGGACGAATATCTCACGGTAGCCATGTCAGCGTATACACTGAGCATGCACTTCTCCAATAGGAAAAATTTGTGGCGCATTTTTGTACAAACAAGTGAAGGGCACATCCGCACATATTGATTACGAACGATGGACCAGCTTTTTCGCTTTTCTGTTGCGTTACACACACATATAAGGTGGGGGTTCTGGACACAGTGGGCAGCAAGAGGGCAAAAACCGTCTGAAAAAAGCCCCCCAATTACTTCTCCGAAGCTTTAGTCTGAGGAGAAGTGACTGGGGGCTTTTTTCGGACGGTTTTTGCCCTCTTGCTGCCCACTGTACCAGAACCCCCACCTTATATGTGTGGCCCAGATCCAGCCTGAAAATCTCTGAATGACCAAACAATACGTTTTTGGCAAAAAGCTCCAGGAGTCAATGGGTGATAGTCCCTTGGTGATAAATTTGGGAAATCTATCCAAAGCAAGCTCAAAAACGCCAGGAATTATGCAAAATTTGCATTTTAGGTTTTTTTGTTAATCAAAGTATTTATTTTGACCCGACATTGGGCAAACTAAAACACCTTTTAAGCCCGTAAAATTACACAGTTTTTGCCATTTCCATAGGGGCTTGAATTCTTTGACAGTCAACGGAACCCCTCAAAAGTTAATTTCATATAAAGCTTTCTGCCATGCACGTGCCAAACTGAGCCAGGGACGGCAGAGCTGGGGTGGGGTCTTAAGTCCCTCCCCTCCACTTTTTACCACGATGACATTTTATTTTGTTTTAGTATGAGGTACAAATGAAGAAATAAAGAAGAAGGGAAAGAAAATGAAAAAAGTCTGGTTGACTACAGATTTACCAAGAATTTACAAAGCTACAACCTCGTACCAAAACTGTAGGAAACTTTTCATGTTTACATAGTTTTAACCTTTCCGCAGCGTGCGCTTCCTTCTCACACATGGGGGGCTTGTGTAAAAGCGCAGGTCAGTCAGTACTAAGGCCGTGATATATCATGGAGGGCTGAAAAAGATGTATCAAGCTCACAATACCTTCAAAATATATTGCTGTAAATGCACTAAAAGTACCTGTCATTTTGTAGTTCATCCACTAGGTTGATTTTCTTGAGAACTACACCATGGAGAATGTCAAAAATATCATTTCCGTGCCCCTAGATTTAAAATGCCTTTGGGGGGAGGATGCCCCTAGACTCCTCTACAAACTTGCGCCGGCACCGCTCGTTTTCAAGCCACCCACCTCC